AAAAAAAAAAAAAAAAAAAAAAAGAACGAAAAAGAGAATCAACCGAAGACACCGGAAGATAAATTCAACTAAAGACAAGTACATGACAAATGAACATGCATATAAAACAATTCTGAAATCAAGCCTTCACCATTTTGATTGTGTCCGCTGTTTAGTGTTGCTTTTGCAGGATCCATTGGCAGGAGAGAAAAACTTGCAGCAGACCAAATGGAGGGGGATATCTGAAATGCAGATTCCATTGGAGGGGGAGAAAAACTTGCAGCAGCTCCCTTGAGATGCATCAGCTGAATCAATAATAAGGAAAAAAAAAAAAAAAAGAATGGGAGCCAAACAGGGAATCAGAAACACTCACACCTCCCCTAATTTATTTAGCAAGGAATTGACTACAAAAATGAAATACACATAATCCAGCTAGTGTTTATGGCATTTTGTCTTGATTTTATAAATAACGTTCAATGGCAAAGAAAAAATGGATAAAACAGACAAAAGAAAAACAAATCTAAGAGAGACTCATTTTTAGAGCTGGCCATCACTACGTACAACAGACGTATATGACTTTCTTTGAAATTTGATCGTGTTTGGCACTGGATTTAACCACCAGCTCTTTATTATCCCGTACCTCATTAGCGAAAACGGATCTTGGAACTTCTACTAAACCAAAGAACACACCGTCGCCATCCTCTGATGGACTGTAAGCTTCATCTACAATGGTTGATTCCTCTATATTAACTCAGAGAGCAATGGATAGAACAAGAAAAGAAAAATGTACAGAAGGGGTAGGGTTACCTTGTGTTGTGATCGGACGCACAACAATATCACTTCCTAAAGTTGGGTTCCCGTTGACAATATCCACATACTGTAACAGGTCGCTTAAAACAAAGTAGCCATTATCTTGTGGAGCAAGAATGAAGTGTTGGGAGAAACTTTTAACTACATTGTCATGTCCCACGAGATGGCCAGTGACAAAAACATGAACTTCACCTACAAAAGACTCCAATGAATCCACCGACTTGATCTCAAATCTTAAGTCTCCATGGTTGAGCGATACAATCTTCTCTTTGATGGCCTACATGGTTAAGTCACATCAACAACAGGGAAAAAAGAATTTAAAATAAAAAAGAGCCATCAAAGCTCAATATTCTAATTCAAATCAGATAACACCACCTCCTGAATGCATCAAATCATTAACATCATCCGAAAAGATGGAAATAAATGTAAAACTTTCAAGAGGAAATACCAAACTTAAGAAATATAATTGTTCCATCATATAATATAAATTCTCTCCTACCAAATGTACTGTAACCTACCACCAAATGTACTAGAAATACAACAGAATTAAACGGCCCTAGGAATAATAAGAAACCGGGAAACGGTAGTTTACTTGACAGGTTGTGGTGACGCTCATGGAGCCATCCTCCTCGACACGATGGATGGTACTCTTGTCTCGATAGAATTTATTAGCCAACTCCGGCGAGCTATGCAGAATGGTGTAGTATTTCTCTACAAATACTCTCCCAACCTACCTACCGTCCATAAGAAATAACTCAAAGCTAGTACGAATAGATTAAATATAATTTTGAACCCCAAAGAAAAGAACTCACAATTTGTGCAGAAACAGTTTGCTGATATCCCACTTCCGCTGCCATCTTCGGATAAATAAACTTGACTTCAAGCAATCATCAGCCAACAGAAAAACAGACATGAGAAATAAGCTCAATAACTATACGCGTGTTATGAAAAAGTAAGTAGTAAGGATGGTGATGATCGGAGGAAGTGAAAGGGAAGGATCTTTGGTGCCGGAGCTCGAGATTGGGTGAAGAGGACAAAATAGAAAACCCTATAACGAACGGGATAGAGATATGTTAAAAGAAGACTTGGTATTTCACATAAGTCCCTACTGAAATGTTTGGGAATTTTTTTGGTTACAACTGATAATATCCTCAAAATGTACATTAATATCTTCTAAGTTAGAATAAATATTCAAACTTAGGAAACATTAATGTGTAAGTTGACATAGTAATTTTGTAGGGAACTACATAAACAGAAGTTAAGTTCAAGCCAAAACGGATGATACATAAGATCTTAAGTATCGATAGATGTTCTAGGATAACGGTTTTAGTACAAAAGGAGGCTTAATTTAGAAGTTCACATCATGCACATTTTTTCTGTCTTTTACTGGAAGGTTCAGTAGTTGGCTGTTTTACGGGCTGGTTATTTGAAACTGTTGGTGCACTGCTTGCATTGCTTGATTGGAGTTCAAAATTAAGTGATCTTTTTGCTCCTGTTCTTTTTTGTTTCTCAGTGGCAGCTGGTGATGGGGTATCAAGCATTGATGTGAACACTTTCTCTGCAGTTGGGGTGAATTGTTCCTCCACAATAACATGTTAAACATTCATGTGTAAATAATTTATACAAATGTGTGGGTCGTTATTTGTACAAATAATTTATATATAGGGTAGCTAACAATGTGTTAATCAAAACAGCTTCAGTCCTTGAGTTTATAAGAACTCTCGTACTGAACTGCGTACAACTAAATAGAATAGAAATGTGAAGCTTGAGTATTGCTCTAAAAATCTCTCTAAAATTCAGCAGCAATAAGAGCTTGCACTAGGGTATTTATACAAACTCCTTAGGGTTGGAGTCTTCTTCAAGGCATAGGACTCTAAGCTTGATTTCCTTCCATAAGAATGACATATCTTTGGCAAGTAAATCTCCTCTTTTCTCTCTCTATGATCTCCTCTACAAGCACGCCTCTCCTTCCTTTAATTCTTTCAAAACCGATTTCCTACAAAATACAATACTATAATAAGACCTATAATATCTTATATATGGAATATAAAATAAATTCAATTAAGGAAATAAAATATTTGAAGGTCTTCCCTTTTTCTGTGGTTCCAGGTGCTTGTTTGAACTGACGAACTAATGCCAAATAAAAATATCTTTCATCTTATTTATTTGCAAACTAGCTAATATATTTTTCCGCCCAAATGCATTTTCAACTTAATATGGTAATTGGTTATTAGTTTATCAATATGGTAACATTTTTATAGTTATTACCAATTTTTATTACCAATTGCTTATTATTTTTAAAGTATTTTCATTCTTTTTTTATTTTTATTTTTTGCAACCTTTATTAAAAGCAATCTATTAATATATAATGAGGATTAACTTAATTCACTTTTAGTAATATTTACCCGCCAAATTCATTAATTATTGTCTAAAATTAGTAACTTAACAAACTTTCATTAATTACATATTATAATATGGAATAGATTTTTTTTTTCCGATTAGAATCGTTATAAATATGGAATAAATGTTTTTCTGATTAGAATATCTATAAATATTTACTTAACAAAATTTTTATTATATATAATAGATGTTTTTTCCGATTAGAATCTCTACAATATATAGAATTTAGAATCTATTCCATAAAAAAAAATAATTAAATCTATACTTATATAAAAAGCTATATTATTTACTAGAATTTGTAATAAGAAAAGTCAAAGGTAATTAACGTATTATATTTTTATTAAGTATTTTATTTAATTATTTATTTAATTATTTTATCACATAACACCTTTTCAATACAATTTACCATGATTTTTCTATTGTGATTAAAAATCAGTTTTACGTCTAAAATCTTGTGAAATTATTATTATTATTTTTATAAAACACATATTATTTTTTAAAAAATTGTATATATATATATCTAAATATATATATACATTATACACATCACAGTCCCATGATAGATGATTGAACATGATTTATATTTCAATCGAACAAAATGTCAATGATTTAAATTTGAACAAACCTATGTGTTTGACCAAATTTCTGGATGATTTAAAATTGAGCCCATCAAAAACTATTTAAATTTGAACACACTAGAAATTTTATGTACTTTTTTATTTATAAATATATTGAAAGTGGTATTTAATGGTTGTTATATAAACTATTTTAATATGTTTGTAATGAATAAAAGTTTGAATGAATAATTTATAATGTTATTCATTATGTTTGCGATTTATGATACACGAACACATAACCACATACATATTTGCGAGAAGGCGGCTTAATAATTTTCATAGATTGTTCAAAACTGTAATGAATTAACAAATCGTGGAATAAATATAAAAATTATGAAAATGTTTCATAGACTGATAAAACGTTACAAACTGATAAAGACTAAAATATAATATGAAACTTTTATGTTTGTTTAGATTAACAACATGATCCAACAAGTTCATCTTTCCTGTTTGATCAAAATAATAATCAAACTTTATAAATCAATAAGCAAAATATTTGGTCAAATTAATAATCAAACTTTATAAATCATTAGCAAATGAAAATCAGTCTTAATTGAATGTAGAGTATGATGTAAAATTGAACGTACAATATGTTGTAAATCAATTCACACGGTCAAATTTGTGATAATTAAAAGTAACAAACTAAAAAAAATCAAAAAGTTTAGATGACATGTGACATGCATCTCGCTCCGAGGAAACTTTTATCTTAATTATAGCAGAATGATGGTTGTATCTAATTTTTTTATCTAATAGATGTGTAGAAAAATATGATTGATAAAAACCTCATCATAACGAGAAAACCTTATCTTATAGCCGAATATTGGCTGCATCTAATAGTTTTTTTTTTTTTTATTTGTCAGCATTTTAACTATACTAAGTAAATCATTATATCATTAAGAATATATTATAGTTATATTATCAAATCATAAAAAGATATTAAATCTATATTGTAAAAGAAATCATATAATTTTATAAAAATTTTATTGCACTATTTAACAGTATTCTTTTTTATTATATAATTTATAAAATAGTAGTTAAATATTATATGGTGAACAAAATAAGTAAAATTGTTACTTTCTCTTACATCAAGGGATAAATTTATATGCTAAAATTAAATTTTTATTAGTATAATATTTTAGTGAGATAATATATTAATTATTTTACAAGCTAGCCCTAACATGCTAATATTTAATGTTCTGGCTAAAAAAACAACGTTGGCTAAAAGGTATGCAAAAAAGCTTATGACTCTATTTATTTTTGGCTTAATGTTGATTAAAAAATGTAGAAAATAGATAATAACTCTATTACTTTTTAGACTTAAAATGAAAAGATTGTGAAATAACTTATTTAATATTTCTGTCCCGTGCATCGCACGGGATACGTACTAGTTAAAATTGAAAAAAATAATAATAACATTCTTAACAAATATATTAAATTACTTCTTATACAAAATCATGGTACAAAGACATTTAAGTACTGAAATTAATGATTTAATAATATTTACTCATGATGGGTCTACTTCGAGATATGAAGTGAACCGGTGGTAAAAGGGGTCCGATATGCTCGAATCGCCTCCAAATCGCCTTTGAACCGCCGCAAACATATGCAAGAACTCAGCACCAGAAATGTTTCCGGTGAAGAGTCACTGACGCTCAAGTCAGTGAGAGTGATGAAGATGAACTCTGCTCAGTAGGAGCAGCAACTGAGAAAATGAATGGAGATAATGGAAAGTTAGGGTTGTAGGGTTACCTCAACCTCCTTTATATATGAGAATACACTTACTTGAAGTACCCAAAATACCCTGGCCAACTTACATGAAATATCTAGAATACCCTGCTTAATTCGTCTCATATACATCTTCTAATCAGCATCCAGATTTCTTCTTATCTCTTATAGGTCTTCTTCTGTTCACAGGTTTCCGCGTGCCAAGTCATATGAGTCGTCGGAGTTCTTGATGCCTCGGGGCAGTTTCAGTCGACTTCGAATATCGCCGTGTCGACTCAGTTCGCGTATAAGCATTTAAAGGATATGCTCTGCTCGCTCGTCTCTTTGGTGTAAGTCGACTTGCGGAGTCGACCTCCTTTCTCATCCGTAGTCGACTTATTCATGTCGACTTGGTTGAGGTTGTCTGGAAATACGGGCTGACAGGAAGCTCTCCTTCCGGGTGAGCATACTAGAAAGTCGACCTGACTGGAGTGGACTTGCAAAAGGTCGTCATGGCCCATTAGTCGGTCGAGTAACCAGTACTTGAACCGGTGTATGATAATATGGCTATATCAACTCCAATTCATGGAGTATTTGTTGTCCTCCCATCATTTATTCATACAATCTATATATATGTATAATTTGTATTTTCCATTGTACCATACAATAGTTATTAAAATTAATTATTATATTTTACAACATAAGCATAAAAAATTATATTATAAAGTCCTTTTTTTTAGTTATTTATTTTAAAATAAGTATTATATTTTTTATCTGATTAAGCGATTATTTTTCAAATAAAATTAATTTATTTTAGTGTCATAATAAAATTCATTAAAATTGCATAAGCAATTGTTATAATAACTTTAATATTTTTTTTAGATAAGTAATTATTCACGATCACTCAAAATTTAATAGATAATTAATTATTTATTACATCCCTAAACGTTGGCGGTGTTTAAAGTCTCCACGAGGCTTTACAGGCCGCCAATGACACCCTGAAAATCGACAGAAAGGGTCTGGCAGTAGCTCGAATTGATCGAAAAAAATGGCAGCAATCGGGAGTTTGGTTCACCGTCTCCATGAATATACGCTAAGGCCTCTTGGACTGCGCAACAATGGCGATGGGTAGGGCT